GAACTCCATCATCCTTCATGACAATGCAAGGGCTCATACTGCTGATGCTGTCAAGAATCTCCTTCGCCTATGGTGATGGGAGATATCGCAACATCCGCCATACTCACCCGATATGTGTCAATGTGATTATGATCTCTTTGCCAAAATGAAACAACCACTGCGAGGGACATGTTACAACACAAGAGAAGAGATTATTCATGCTGTAGGGCGGTCACAACTGGACATCAACAGAAGTAGACGCGCTCATGGTGTACGCCTTCCACAAATTTGGCAGAAGGTGGAACACATGGGGGGCAATTATATTGAAGGAATGTAAGTGTGTTTACCTCAGTAATAAAGTCATTTCAGAACTATAGAGGTGTTGCCACTACTTTTTATCCAACCTATGTACATCACCAAATCAGTCGTTGTTTACATTCCCTAGAGAATGGACATTACTTTGTAAGATGAGGCACCGATTAAATTGTAAGTAAATAATACACTATATCTTCAATACCAAAATCAACTGTTAATTATAACAAAACTCAATACTGTTACTCTCATATAATTTTCAGATTAACATTAATATTACTACATCTACATCACAAGCCTCCAAACCAGTTTATTATATATATATACACAAAATACAGAATACTCCAATTTGTCCTTGAGAATACAACAAAATCGCAAAAACCAATGATTGACTCAATGATGTAAAGCGTCATTCGAAGAATTTTAATATAATTAATATTATTGTATCCAATTTTACTAGTACTACAGTTCAGTGGTGTATATATGTTGGCCATGTATTTGCCTGATGATGGCTTTTGGTAGCCAAAACATGTAAATATTTTTCTATTCTTTTTAAAGCAGAGCCAAATGTGGCCCTGACCTAATATCATTGTGTTGTGACAGTTTAATAAATAAATTGTATATTGTTGTATTATAACACAACAGGATGCATGAAATGAAAATTATCCAAACAATACATTATGTTGCAGTTCTGAAATCCAAGGCATGGGTAGTTTCACATTTCCATGAACCAGAGACTTTCGTGAGAAACTACGAGTCATTCAGTCAGGGAATTCCCTGCCATTTACAACACCCAAAGATACAATACTGTGTTCACAAGAGACCATACCCCCAGTGTGATGAAGTAATGCTACTTAAATTTTCAGGCTGGCTATATTTCATGAACATTTCTCTTGCTAGTAAAGGAGCAGTGTATTCTATGTGGACCATGTCAAGATGATATAAGCCGGACATGTGAGGAGTTAGTGAAGAGTTTGTTGGTCAGTGAGCGAGTGAGAGGACTGCTGCAGTTCAGTCGTTGTGAGCTGTTATTGTTCGAAGCTAGTAGCTGAGGCTGGGGCCAGTTCGGGAACCCAGAAGGGGAACATCTGCCCTGGGAAGCCGCTACCAAGCAATGTCAATGAAGAAGTGACTGTGGACACTAGAGAGAGTGTGTGTGTGTGTGTGTGTGTGTGTGTGTGTGCGTAAAACAGTGTGTTGTAAAGTGTAGTCATGCACTGTATCAAAGAGTCCAATAAATACAGCCATCAGTCCAAAACCTGTCTATAGTCATTAAAATCACATGACAACTGACGTCAGAAGTGGGATTTGTGCCAGACAAAGTTGCATTGGGGCAGGTTTCATCCAAGTACTAGGATTTCCACTGCCAATTCTCATTCCAAGAACTGCACCACATTCAATATCACCCTATCACCAATAGTGTATAGCCTCATTACTGACAGCATAATCAAATAATAAACTTAAAAATGAGCTTGCCTCCCTTTCTTCTCAAACAAAAAAATGTAAAATTAAATAAAATTTTAATCGTAGAGCATTAAAAATTGTGCAGTCTTTGAAAAGTTTTAGTACTCTCCTGCGGAATAGGGAAGGCAAGACAGATGGCAGGTACAACTGGTTAACCTCTATATTTTTGCTCATTTAGGAATGTATGGAGTTTCACTATTCAAACAGCAATTACAAGAGTTATCTGAAAATTATCCCAGTGTTTTCAGCTTGCACAGTATATGTGGGTGGTCCTTGGTAATTGTCTAATCTAATCTTTGTTGAAGGAAATTAGTTTTGACGCACAATTCTTTTTGTTTCTTATTTGCTCTTTTAAGCATGCTTTCCTTATTTGATAAAAAATAATAGAATTATGGACTCATGTTGCTGTCTCTGTCTTCTTATCTTATGCCTGCCATACTCTGATGGCTGCATTTTCTTTTGTTACCAATCTCAACAGGGTAGTCACACAAACTTGTGAAGCATGAGCGACAGAAGCATCACTTGATTGCTGGGTGGACCAGATACTTTTTCTGGGGATGGATTTTTAAAATGATACACAATTTTTGTATTGATGTTTTATGTTGTCATGATCTTAGTGACTATAGATGGGGTTTTGATTGGTATGAGGGCAAACTGAAAAGTCTTTGCCCCTATTTTTTTTCAGCCACCATAATAAACATACAGGGAAATCAAAATACAGGCAGTGTTCTAAGTACCTTTGACTATTTTTCCACACAGTCACCACCCCGGTTCAGGCATTTGTCCCATCGCACCACTAGTTTGGAGATGCCACTGTTGTAGAATTCAGCCCATTGAGCGTGGAACCACCATCGGACAGCGGTTTCTGCATCATCGTTGGAAATGAACCTCTGGCCTGCCAGGAACTTCAGTGAACTGAACACGTGGTAATCACTGGAGGCGAGGTCTGGACTATATGCTGCATGCTCCATAATCTCCCATCCGAATGACTGCAGTTGGGCAGTGGTCCTGTTCGCCACATGAGGCCTGGTGTTGTCATGGAGGAGAACGACATCGTCCACGAGAATCCCCAGGCATGTTTTCCTGAGGGCAGCTCACAGACGTGCGAGTGTACCACAATAGCTGTCCATGTTAATGGTGGCAACTTGTGGCATGGAATCCAGCAGGAGTGGTCCTCAGCGATCCCAGAAGACCGTGACCATCAACTTCCCGATGGATGGTGTTCTGCGGGATTTCTTCATGACAGGCGAACTGGGATGTTTCCACACCATGCTCTGCTGCTTGGATTCTGGAGTGAAATGCAATACCCACGTTTCATCTCCGGTGACAATGAGATGCAGGAAATTTCACTGAAAAAGCTCCTGGCAGGCCAGAGGTGCATTTCCGACGACGTGAAAACTGCTGTCCGGTGGTGGTTCCACGCTCAACTGGCCGAATTCTACAACAGCGGCATCTCCAAACTAGTGGTGCGACAGGACAAATACCTGAACCGGGGTGTTGACTATGTGGAAAAATAATCAAAGGTACTTAGAACACTGCCTGTATTTTGATTTCCTTGTATGTTATTATTGTGGTTGAAAAAAATAGGGGCAAAGACTTTTCGATTTTCCCTCATAATTGGATTTACTGATCTGTTAAAACTCATACAGAGAAGAATGGCGAGCAATCCTGAGGAAGGCCAGGGCTCACAAAAGGCTGTCGTGCCAGTGATGATGATGATCTGTTAAAACTTATAACTACAAGTAAGGATTATGCTCATACCGTTCTACACATTTCACAAATCACTACAGGACACACTAGGTCTTCTCAGTGTTACAGTATTACACTAGCTGTTGCTTGGTAATGGCTTCCAACAGCAGATATTACCCTTCCTCTGGGTTCCCGAAATTGTCCCCAGCCTCAGCTACTAGCTCCTCACAGCAACAGGTCACGACAACTGAACTGCAGCAGTCCTCTAACTAATTAACTCTCTCAGGAACAAACTCTTCACTAACTCCATTAACTCCTCACTTGTCCTGCTCATAACATCTCAGCATGAACCATGCAAAAAACACCGACCCTCTGTTGCAGTGCAGCTGTTACTTTGGAATGGTTGCATTCGTGTCTGTTGGCAGAGCCATTAACTAGCAAAGGGTCCACATGCCACAATATTAATCGATTATAATCAGATCTGTTACTCAGAAATCTTACTAAAATTGTACATAATTTTGGCAGTTATATATTACTGATACAGTTAAGACAGCCATGAAAGCTCATTTAAACCTAGTCCAAATCCTTGAACTCTATTTCTTCACAGCAAATTTAATATTATTCTCGCATCTGTATCTAGGTTCCCCAAGGGTCTTGTCCCACTACAGTTTTTCATGCATTTCTCAACTCTCCCATATCTGATATATATTCTGTCCATCTCATCTTCCGTATTTGGCTACCTTAATTGTGATGGCGGCGAAACTGCAAAATATTTGGAACTCAAGAGGATATCTTTCCATTCCTGTTGCAGTGGAAGTAAGAACTGAACAATAACTTTGCATTCATTTTGATATATTATACTGCAAAACCCAATTAATCTGTAATTGCAACTATAAACTTCTTTATGGATAACCTCAAACCGATGCGCACGCATGCATGCACACATACACTCGCTCTCTCTCTCTCTGATACTTTGAAGATACAGCCACACTGAGAAACATACACAATACATCTGAGATACAGAAGTCATAAACAAAATTAAAACCAAATGAAGTATATGTCTGCTAAAAATCTGTGATATGTTCATGTCAGCAACTTGAACTTAACTTGCATGAGACCTTGTATACTGGGGAATTTTACAGCATTATCTTCATACACACCATAGAGCATTTTCAGTGTTTATCTCCTGTATCCATACATTGCATTAAGGTATCCTTTATCAAATGCACTCAGTGCAAGTTATCAAATTTATACCAAACCAAGCAAGCACATAAAACTCAACAATGGATATGTGACAAAGGATGAAAAAGCAGCAACAGATACAAAATTATATGGTATGGAAATGAGTAATGCGCGTACTTGACCAAACATCATTACGAGTGATTCGATTGAGAACTATGGATAAAACTATCATAAAGATTTTTTCTTCAAAATAACCTTACTAACATATGTACTTTTCTTAGAGAGATAGGATGGGATGGCATTGACTGGATTGATCTGGCTCAGGATAGGGACCAGTGGAGGGTTCTTGTGAACACAGTAATGAACCTTCAGGTTCCATAAAATGCTGGGAAATTCTTGAGTAGCTGCAGAATTGGCAGCTCCTCAAGAGTAAGTAAGTAAGTATATGTACTTTTACTTCACATTTCCATTATTTCGGAAGATAAAGCCATAAAAATAAATGTCATGGAGAAGTAGTTTTACTATTTTCCTGCAAACAGAATGGTGTGATGATAGAGATTTAGATACCAAGAGCTGGCGAGTTTAAAAGTTTTCCAACATCTGTTGAATGAATAGGTCAACAGCGAGCTAATTTGAATCCCACTAGAGATTATGCAGCAAACTGAACTCAAGGGCCAATCCACAAGCTACGAAACCATCACTGTCTTCAAAGTGTTCAGAGTGCATCTGCATGAGCGCTTCTGACTTTCTGTACATAAAGACATAAAATCCTGCAATTTAATGAACAGAATTGACACTTTTATGCAGTTTCAACATAAACTGTACACATATTATGTTCAACACAAAAGGGAATGATTACATCACTTGCAATTTTCAGACTCTTTGAGACCTAACAGAATATCCATACCAGTTTAATGAATCATCTGTAGCACATGTGTTTCACTACACTATTAACAGTTGCAGATTTACAAATCTCATACATTCCAGTTTTTCACTCAGATACTATCACCCATACTTGTCTTGAGCATACAATGAAATATATACTGAAACTCTTAGTCATTCCTAAAGCTACTGCACTGTTTTAAACTGTTTCAATATAGATGTAAATAAATGCATAGAAAATTCAGTGCTTATACATAGGCAAGAATGTAATTACAATATTTCTAATATCATAACATGATTACAAACCTTTACAACTCCACCTCACTAAAACAAGTCATACGTTTCAATTTGTATATATATATATATAAATATATTTTCTCAGCACTGAATGGGCACTTGAGTGCAATAATAGTTTTCTATAACCATTTTGCTGCCAAAAATTTTGATTTTTTTTTTAAATTGCATGAAACTTAACATTTATAATACCAACAAATATTACAAAAAAAGTCACCAAAATGTAATACAGATGGAGACCACTGAACAGAATGGATCATTTTAAAGTGCATACCAGTGGCACTTTACTCAAAATGAAACCTGTGGTCTCAGAGTGTGATGTAATTTAAAGCGTATCAGTAGAGAAGGGAGAGACCCAAATATCACTATCCACAGATACTCTCAAAATACCAATGAAAGATAATAAATTGACAATATCCTGACGCATGATCACTTACAAGTAATGTTTCCTCTTTCTGTTCACTGTAGTAAAATAAAACACTGTAAGAAATGACTGTTTCATATGGCAACAGTGTATCTACATTTGATGATGATACCTGGAACCAAAAGCTGTTGGCACTGAATTACTTTCAGCAATTGCTGTGTCGGGAGCCTCTCATGAGCGGGACAAGCAGTGCAGGGGTGCCAGCCTGCCGGAGGAATGGGTGCTGCAGCAGTTCAGCTGCTGTTGCTCTCTGTGCAGGATCTCGAACCAACATGCGCTCCAAGAAACCCTGCAGTCTTGGAGACACCTAAACAACTCTCTACGATTATTATTCGAGCTAAAATCATTTTAAAGTCTACAGTGTTATATAGCCCAATTTTGCAAACAAAACTCTGCTATAAGCTTGGCTGAATCTTCCACTATTTTTGAACACAGTAAGTATTGCAGATAACTTCTGGCATGCAAGGATATCAGTTTCTGTACATGTATTGTTCTCAACATATCCATACTTTTGTCCCCAGTATCATCAGAGAGTAAGAATAAGAAAAACTGTAGTAGTATATTATTACATATATATGCCAGTGCTCTCATTCACATCTAGCGTTACTGTAATTAAATAATAAAGGAAAACCAATACTTCATTAAGAGTGTAAAACATAAAAATCTAAAAATGTTCTGTTTACAAAGATTGACTGACAGACGCTAGGTTCATTTAATAACACTTTTTCAACTGAATATTTCAAATGTTAGGATGACTGCAAATAATGAATTGAGGGGAAGGAAGTGGTTGTGGACCTTTCTGAAAGTACTATCTGAACATCAGCAGGGAAGGACTGGTTAAAACCATGAAAAGTCTCAACTGAGTATGACCTTAACCATTACATTCAGTCCATTACAAAGGTTATTTGCATAAAATATTTGCCTCGCTTACTCACAAGAGCAATGTAAAGGGCACACTCAACAGCATGACACACTTTGGAGGATGACAAATAACTGATGAGTACAATATTTTGTTATGATGCCCACTTCCATATAAATTGACTTCACACAGCACAGTTCTTACACCTGGTCAAGAAATTTTCTGCCTTCTATGGAACTTGATGGTTCATTACTATGTCTACAAGTCTGCCAATTGACCCTATCCACAGCCAAATGAATCCTGTCCACATTCTCATATGCTCCTTCTTTAAGATCCACTTCAGTTTTATCCTCCTACCTGTGCCTAAGTCTCCCCTCTGATTATTTCTTCTGGTTTTCCAACTAAATGTTTGTATGTATTCCTTGTATTGTCGATATGTGCTACATGCATCACTTAGTTCATCATTCCTGATTTGATTACTCCAATAATCTGATATTTTTCATTAACTATGTTTTATGTTGAACATATGTCAAAAAAGGATACAGGCATAAAGAAATGTGAACTGAGCACTTTCTATTTGACACTCAATGTGCAACATTTGAATGCACATGAACTGACTGTTGTTATAATCACTGCACTTAATAAAAAGGTTTCATAAATACTTTTTAAGATATGCTCATAGTTTTATTTAAAATATTCTGTCAAGACATAATTATCAGCTTTCTTGAGGGTCCTATTAAATCTCTCATTCTTCCTCAATGCATAGTACATGATTAAGTTTCAATTTATTTATTTCAGTTGCTTGAATATACAAGTGTAACAATGAAGAATTACAGCAAAACCCTTATATAAGGTTTCTCTGGGGGCCAGGGAACACATAGGAAAATCTTAAATGGAGGTAATTTAACACTGAGTTTATTGACTTCAGATCACTGAAAGTGAACATTAAGTGTGGGAAAAGCTTCAACTGAGGAACGTTAAATGGGGGATTCACTGTTTATTCCTAATGGATATAATATGAAAGCAGATCACATTAAGTACAATGCTACCACAATGGAGGTTCAAATGTCTGCATTATAGCAGTATATGTAAATAAAATCTATATGGTTAGTTAGATTAGCATAATCTTCATGAAGCTTATTAATTCCTGTCTTAGAAAATGTTTCACCACATCACTTAAAAATATTATGCCAACTAATTCTGATACCATTCCATGCCTTTAACTGCACTGCACTGATAAAACAATTATATCTGTGTTGGATTTGAGGCTCGACAGTGGTGACTATGAAGAGTTTGTCTTCTGGGATATAATACTGTGTAGTGCAATGAAAGTCATAAGATGTTTTGGAGGAATGTATTAGCTCCTTCACTAGGGTGCAAGAGTAAGCCAACCAAGAAACCAGTATTAAGCAGGCAGAGACTGCGTATTTCATGCTGATTTCTGGGTTGGTTTACCCTCTGAACCTGAAGATGGAGGTGGTATGTTCCTTTGAAACACTGGCTGAATTTCACAAAAATACACAGCATTACATCCTGGAAAACAGAACTCTTCACACTTATTTCCATAAGAAATCCTAATATTAAAACACAGATTTTCTCAATTTATATTATTAAAAATATTAACAAAATCTGAGATTGTTTCATTTGTTTTTTGATAATAATGGCTCTTCAATTATATCTCCCTTTGTGCATGAGCACACATAAAGTATGATTTAAAGAACTATGGTCAGTCTTTAGGAAGTTGTTGAGATAGTTTGGAGCAGACAAAGCAAACAATTATTTGATTCACCATTGTCTCATTTATGGCATTTCAAAGTTTCAGTCTTTTTTTTTTGTATGTCTGTGTAATGAAGCCTTCATAATGTCGTAAGACGGAGTCTGTACTGCATTCGCCTATGGCTGACATTACTTCTGACAGCAAAGCAGAGATAACAATGAAATTAAATGGCAAGAATTACTGATGTGGAGTATGCTGATATGCATTTTGTGCGTGGCTTCTTCGACAGAAATGCCAGAGCTGCACTGCACACAAATGTTGTTACACAGGTTGAAGGTAACCCAAGGGTGGCAACTGACTTGTAACATTTGCGGTGAACATGTTACATTACACCACAACTGGTGAGGCGCATCGAATGCTCGTTTTGAACGTTCGGCTCGACTGTGCTCATGTGCGCTCCACTTCATTTCATTCAATATGTCAAGACATGGAAGTTGTGTTATCTGTGATCCCTTTAATTTAATTTAATAATAAAGTATATTCCCAATCCCTCTGCATTATCAGAACAACCTCTTTCGCCAGAACAATACGACTGTCAACACACACAAATGGTGCTCCACATGTTGGACATGAATGATCGTTACAACACCACTCGAATGACTGCCTGACTTGTACAACTCAAAGGGATTCGCGAAAAAACCAACAACACGATGGAGCGGCCATGAGCACGAGCGGCTCCATTCGCTATCTTCACTTGTGTAATGCTCGATTTGTAACATGTTACATTACAGGCAAATGTTACAAGTCAGTCACCACCCCAAGAGGCATGTGTTTGTAACAGTGCACCATAATCTGAAGGAAATATGTGCCTTCATGCCAATCTACTGACTAGCACTCACTGGGTTGTATACAGTAGAAAATGGATTCCTCCCTCAGAGTGCAGTTTGCTGTACACTGCATAGCAACAGCTGAAACTTCTCACATACAACTTATGCAAGGCCTGCAGTCAGGGAACAATAACTTTCAACTCCAGTTCTCTCAATGGCTTCTACACAACTGTATACAAACTTGATTCTTTAAGCTGTGTACTGTGGACTGAGAAACACCATTCACATGAAATTAAGTAAACAATCTACAGAACCTACATGAATGGACACTGGAGAACCTTCATGCTATTCACAGCTCTTCATTTCAAGAGAGATTTAAAGTTAACATCTGGGCCAGAATTGTACACAATTACCTAACTGGATCATATGCGATAGCAAACCACCTTGGCAGAATCCAGTACCCTGATGGAACACTTCCTGTTTTATTGGAGGATGTGCCCCTCAGTGGTCGCAAGTGGATGTGGTTTCTGCATGATGGTGCCCTCTCCCTGCTCACTTTTCGTGCTAAGTGGGTAAACGGCTGAATATCCATTTTCTGGGCACAAGGATCAGCTATGGGGGTCTGACAGTATGGTGTTCATGTTCTCCGGATCTGAACCCTCTTGATTTTTTTGGGGGGGAATGCATCAAATGAAATGTTTGACATGCAACCACAAGCTCATAATGACCTCTAAAACTGCAACCTGGTAGCTGTCACAGATGTGAGATCCAACCTGCACAACTGGTTCATGCCAGGGATTGCATTTGAAGTTGACATGAAGTATGCATTTCCTCCCCTTACACTGACACTTGTGTCAAACATGGCATAAAATTTAAAGGTGAAAATAACTTAATCCTAACTAAAACTAATACATTTCCTTTAAAAGCAGTGAAACATCTTGACAATACAAAGGTGTTGAACCAAACATGTTCACATTTTCTGCTCCAAATTAACTCTCCAACAATCTCCTAATACATAGACACAGGATACTGTAACACCCTGTGTGAGTGTGTGCACATACGCGTGAACAAGCACATGCATGTACATGTCAGTACTACATACAGTGTCCCAGAAGTAAAGGTCATAGTACCAGTCATTCTAAGCAAGAAAGTATATATGTACATGTGTCCTATTATGAATGGTTTCTGAGACAGAGCTATTTCATGTTATTGTCGACATATAGGAACGTCAAGATGCACTCAGACGAGCACCACGCCATGTCCTCACACGAGTTACAGAGTGCACTGATTTTGACAATAGAATTTTGGAAAATATATTATACTAGGTAAACTGCACCAACTCTGTCACCTGAGCAATAAACATGAGTATTAGAAACAGTATGTAATATCTCTTTCTTATCAACAATTTTGGAGAGCGGCACACAGTAGCATAGTTGATTCAGGCACTATGTTACAAGCTGTAACATCACAGGTTCAAGTCCCGATGACGTGGATTTGTTTCAACTTACTTAATCCTTCCAGCCACACTATGGCCCTGGGGTCGATTCAGCTTCTAATGGAAATGAGTACCAGGAAACTTCCTGGGGGGTAAAGGGTGGCCAGCGTGTAAGGATGACAACCTTACCACCATCTGTGAGCCCACTGTCTAGACAAAATTTGGGAGCCTTGACGTCTCACAACCCAATGGACCTTCATGGCCTGTTACAGGGATAGTTTTTCTTACATTTATCAACAATTTTGGAACTGTACAGTGAAAACAGCTCTATCTTGGAAACCGTTCAGAATAGGACACATGTACATATACACTTTTTTGCTTAGACTGAATGATAATATGACCCCCACAAATACTGACCTTTCCTCTTGGGTCACTCTGTATATAGACAACCTGGTTACATATAGGAAGA